ATAGTTGAATGAATAATATATCGGTTTGAAAATAATTTTTGAAGAATAAAAATGGCTCTATATTATTTATTTAACTATAATATATATGGAGATCAATTTTTATTCCTTAATCATCAGAAATAAAGGTGTTATGAATTTTCAAAGTCCCTAAAATCATGCTCTGGGACCTAAAGGGGCAAGTTGATGCTCTCAAGAGTTGCCCTACGGGTTTAAAAATAATTTTCAACGAATAAAAATGGCTTTATATTATTTATTTAACTATAATTTATATGGCGATCAATTTTTATTCCTTAATTTTCATAAATAAAGGTGTTATGAATTTTCAAAGTCCCTAAAATCATGCTCTGGGACCTAAAGGGGCAAGTTGATGCTCTCATGAATTGCCCTACGGGTTTAAAAATAATTTCTAAAGAATAAAAATAGCTCTATATTATTCATTTAACTATAATATATATGGAGATCAATTTTTATTCCTTAATCATCAGAAATAAAGGTGTTATGAATTTTCAAAGTCCCTAAAATCATGCTCTGGGACCTAAAGGGGCAAGTTGATGCTCTCATGAATTGCCCTACGGGTTTAAAAATAATTTCTAAAGAATAAAAATGGCTCTATATTATTCATTTAACTATAATATATATGGAGATCAATTTTTATTCCTTAATTGTTGTAAATAAAGGTGCTATGAATTTTTGAACTTGTGACGCTCGAGTGTTTCGATCTTGGAATTATTCTTTATTGGTACTTTTAGTTTTTTCGTTGCCCCTCTGAAAATTTCGTACGTCCTACGCTTTTCCATCTGCACATGTTTTCTGGTCGCACGCACGTAAAATTTTTTCTATCTTTTAATCCTCTTCTGTGTACATATACGCACAGAATGGGTTTACGACCGGTAAGCCTCAACGTTAATCGGTGTCATAAACACCTGTACCATTTTTAAAAAGTCTTATATTTTTGCGAATTCTTTTTGTTCTTATTTTTACAATTGCGGATTATAATGTGATTTTTGTTTTCTTTATATTTGCGTTTGAATCATTTTATTATCTTGTTCTGTTGTTGAGATAGCGTTCATGGATGTTTCTTTGAATAATTAAATTGGCAATTGAGATTATTAATTTTTCTCACCGCGATCTTCGAAAGAAACGTTCCGGGCAACTACCAAAAAATTTTCAACTCGATTGAACAAATGTTGACATCATTATGGTTGTTTATATTTGCCCTAAAAAATTTTCTACATTAAAAACGCCCTTTTTCGACTTTCAAAGTTAGGTAGCGGGCGAACTTATCAACCGATTAAAGTCAAATTTGAACAGGTAACGTAGAATTGCTCAACCTATATTTTTAATCTTGGTTCAATTTTCCATGGGTATTAGTATTTTTTTTATGCTCCTCTAAAGTGAGGGGCCAATACTTTCCGCGCCGATAATAGAGCACCAAAGAATCGACGAATGTGCTCATTTACATCACTACCATTTTGAAGTTTGGTGAATAATAATGTTTTTAATAGTTGTACCTTTTTCAATGGTCCTTGAGGAGCAAAAACGCTTGATAACTTAAGCCAGACCTCCCTGGACGTCTCACATTCACTGTTGTGATGAAGCTCATCGAACCCAATAGACAAAATTGAATCAGCCTTGGCCATTTGATCCTTCTCGATCCAGTTTCTTCGCTTAATTTCTCTAGCTGCTGCATTTTCTCCACTAATGCACGGAGGAAGTATGTTTGTACTATCAACATAACTCCAAACACCATTATTAATCAGCATAGCTTGAGCATGAATCTTCCAAGAGTCGTAATTGTCCTTTTTTAATTCACTAATCTCAATTACACTCTTTTTTATTTCTTATAATTTGACGGCACGTGTTAGTGTAACTTCAAATTAGATATAAGAATTATTTATTTCAATTATTCCCTGAGCCCATAACCTGTTGAGCTGCTTTCGCAGGGAAGCAGGTAATTGAGTAGTAATTAATTATAAATAAACAACTAATTTATTCATAATGATTGATCGAAAATAAAAGGATTACTTTCATACAAAAATACAACAAAATAAACGTGACCACATGTCTCCACGGATATCACACAATCGAATGAAAATCAATAGTTCCGGTCGAATTATAGTAAATGTATCAAAATAAAATAGAGTATATCAACCAAATATACTAATGAGAATAATAGTGTGACGTGACGAATTTGGCGGAAAGATTTTCAATCTAACATCACCGAACTTCCAAAATACTTTTGAAAATTATAAGAAAAAGAAAAATTACAAAAAAACACGATAAATGTTGAATATACAGTTAACATCGTATAATATAATAAGAAGATTGAACAGATCATTTACATCGATCATGTCGGAGTGTTTATTCGAATTTTGACGATTATTGTTTTCGGCAAAGATTCGTGAGTGTTTGAAGGGGAGATAAATAGAGTAGTATTCTTGCAACATTACTTCTTTTAAGAAGGAAAAGTATCATTGAAAATTGTTTATGATCGAAAAAAACTGAAACATGACAACATACTTTCTTAAACGATTTTATTTTTATTTAATTATACATTTTCGATAAGTAAAGTGAGAACTATAATTGATATCAAAGAATGTTTTAAATAAAACTAGCTACAAGAATTTTACATAAAAAAGTCTGCATCTTTGCACCCCTACTATTAAAAGGTAGGAAGTTATTATACCTCTAAATGTTGATAAAATTAAAAACATCTAAAAAGCGAACACCTCACACGTACGACACTGTTATATTAAAGACCGTGCGATATGCCAGCGCTTGTCATATCTATAGAATTTTTTTGTATCTAAACACATACATTTAGTACTCCACTCTTTGATATGAAGAAAAACATAAACATCATACAATTAATACAAGCTTCCATGGGAATAGCTGACGCACAATGTCATTGATTTCATTTTTTTAAATCTACAAATTACAATGGATTCAGCTTAGCTACGTAATTTAGGAAATGAATTCAATATATTATAATTTATATTTATTAAATTACATATTAATTAATTAATAAATTACTGTTTTCTTTAACAACATATTGTAATTTAAATACACAATATAGTAGTAAAAAACTTTTGTTAGAGTGGATTTTTTTTGCATAAAAAACACTTTTAAATACACTTATAAATAAAAAAAACTTATATTTTCAAAGGGTCAATTCAAAAACGTATTGCTTCGTGATACTATTTCAAGGATCGTAATATTTTTGTGGGTATTAATAATAGACGAAAAAGAATTCGAATTCCATCCTAAAATTCATATTTTGCTTGTTGACAACGATTTGATGATTATAAACTAATAAAGTCCGTTTTTATTTCTATAACACGGTTAATAACATTTTTCAGTAAAAAAAAAAAGTTACAGTTTGAAGAACGCGAATACATTGCATAGATCCTGTTTGCATTTGTTCATAACAAATTTAATTGTTGTAAACAAAGACAGATCATTTCTATTCATGTTACATAGTTATTAACTTGTCTCTCGTATAAGAAAAAATTTCCCTTTGGAAAAACGTATTATCACGAATCGACATGGAAGTTTAGTGACTGTCAACAGACTTCCCTACAACGATTATGGAAGTTTGGTGACAGTCACTAAATGTCCGAAATAATTTTGAAATCTATAAAAAAAAGAAATATCAGTGCTCTGCAGTGGTCTGGCTGCGACCCGAAAGGTCCACACGACTCACTGTCCCCTGGGAAGTTAAGAATCACAGAAAAAGACAACAAATGTCAGATATACGGTTGAACATCATATAATATGATAAGTTCTGTTCTTCAAGAATGTAAGGGAAACGGAATAACTGAGGAACTATCAAAAGTTGTTGTAGGAAATAATTTTTTTGTAAAAGCTTGATGACTGTTGCTAAACTTCCAAAATAACTTCGAATCGATCGAATTTTTGTAAAACTAATGAATCGAAAAAATATGAAAGAACCAGTTATTTAACGTTAGATTTAATAATCACATTTAGACACGCTACATCCTAAATCATGAGTTCCAAAATATTCGAAGTATCAGTAACAGATTTTAACATCATAAATGGTAGTGATATACCCGATGGCTTACCATCGCTAACCATCCACAAAAGTTAGGAAAGAAACCCTAAATACCCACACGGAAATCCAATGTATCCATAATGTATCTGGGAGATATATGAAATATATCCAAAATATATCCAAGATATATCCAGATACAAAAAAAATGTATGCGGGATATATTTGGGATATTATACTTTTGGCCGATTTTTATATATCCGGAATATATCCCGTTTATATACCAGTAATAAAAAAGATATATTTAAGATACTTACAGAATATATCTTATATATATCTACATAAATTTTCGAAATGAAAAAAAAAACTTGAAAAATTTGAAGAAAAGAAAAACTTGTTTTCATTAATTCAATTAATAAATGAAAAAAAATTCATAATAATTTAAACAGCAATAACGACGCACAGAAGTTCTCATTGCTGGCAGTTTGGGAAAACCAGTCATACCTACCTTTTTTTTAGTATAAGAAAAAAAAAAAGTTTTTCCTAATTTGTTCAATTTCTTTCCAATTTTCTTCCTTACATCCTTTTCGGAGGGCATTCGTTCGAAGTCGATCTTCTTATCTATTCTCAATATGTTCAAAGAGAATTTACAAATAATATCTCAACAGTTCTCTACTTGAAATGTAACTAAAAAATCTTTACGAACATTATGTATGAACGGCTATTTCTATTATTGAAGGATTTATTTTGAAATTTATTATTCAGTGGAAATAACCATCATGAATTAGACAGTTTAAAAATTTGTTTTTGCTCTATCTCTTACCGTTTTCGAGACATAAGCCTTTTAAAAAAAAAAAAATGAATAAATATTGAAATTAAGAAAAATAACATGATACTAGCTGCATTTGAAAGATGAATAACGGTTCTTTTTCCTGAGTTCGTCCATATCAGTGTCAACAAACACATTAACAACTCACTGCTCTGGACGACGTCAAACTCTAGTGATGATAGTTGAGATCCTGCATATAATATGAGTAAGACGTGAGGTTTGATTAAGGTATTTAGGTGCATTAATACTTTCGAACGTGGCTCCAATAAGATTAAGTTTATCTATGGGATTGTTGATGACTAGATTGTGGCGGTCAGCAGCTTGTTCATTTGGTGCAATATGTGCTCTGGAGATTATTGATTCATTATCTGTACTGATATTTAATGTTTCAATGGTTAGCGGAGGTTTTCTCGTCAGTAATTTATTTATCTTGGGGAAGAAGTTTTCCGATCTTCTATAATCTATTGCTTGTACTTGTTTCTTCCAATAGTTGCTGATTGTTTCTCTGAATTCAGCGGTGATTTGCTCCTTGATTTCAGCGATAGTAGTATCAACTTCCATTTTGACCTTCATAGAGACCTTTATTTTACCAGTATTAATTTTGCGTCTAATTGTGAGAAGTTTGGATTTGACTCGCTGGAGTTTTCTTATTTTATTATTGACGTATTTAAGAACACTGTCGATATTTACATCTTTTTGAGGTGTCATGTGTTCGATAGCTGTGATAATTTCGTTATCTATTGCTTGAAAGAATTCATTAATTTCATCACGGTTAAGATTTCTAGTAGCTGGTATATCTGTCGTCGAACTTGTTTGTAGAAATTCAGCAAATGCTTGCCAGTTAGTTGCCTTATAATCATAAACAACTTTGATTTGATTATCAACTGGGCATTCTATAGGAATGTCAAACTTAACATTCAATGTGGTTACCCTATGGTCGCTATCATATTCAATAGTTTTCATGGAATTTTCAGGCGGAAGGTTACCCACATTCAGTCGATGATCTATGATACATAAGTCCAGGTAGGTACCAGTTCTAGTATATGTTGGTTCACAAGGAGGAATTAGTCTTGCACGAAAAATAAGACCATCATCGTCAAGCCATTTTTTAAGGTAGTCACCCCTTAAATTTGAATCATGATCTCCCCACTCGGTTGATCGGGCATTAAGGTCGCCAGCTAAAACAAAATAATTATTTAAGTGTTGAACTTTTAGAAAAGTTAATAGTGAATTTAGTTCATTAATAAAACAATGTTTGTTGTTTTTGTGATTTGCATATCCGCTAATGATGAACAAAGATATATTATCTCTTCTCAATTTGATGACTGTAGCTTCAAGACATTTGTTATCCCGAAGCATTGGAATGAATTGCGGTTCAGCCTGTATTTTCTTAGAAATTAGTATTGCTGTTCCTCCACCTTGTACACTATTTACTCTATCTGTCCTGTATATAATGTAGTTTTTAAATCCTAGCTTATGTTTTTTATTAAGCTTAGTTTCTGTAAGTAACATGATGTCTGGTTGCTGTTGCTCCATGAAATGCAGGAGATTGTATCTTCTCGAGTTATGAATTATTGAATTTACGTTGATGGCTATAATTTTGAGCTCTTGAGTTGATTGCTCATGTTCCGATGCAATTGCACGTATATTGCTATTTGTTGTGTTAAGATTTATATCCATTCAAGATTTAGATTATTAAGAATGAAATCTATCTTGGAAAAGTTTTCCAGTATTTGAGTAGTGAGCGAGTTTATTTTGGTAGTTACTGAATTTACAATATCATTTGTAAAACTCTCGAGCCATTGCGGAGGTGAATTTTGTTCGGCTGAGCTGTTATAGCTTCGACTTGTAGAGTCTATTGGAATTGTAGTGTTACGACTGCCAGATCGAGATCGGGAACGACTTGCCCTCGGATATTTATTATTAGTACTTTGTTTATTAGCCATATTAGCGAACGTGACCCCAGGAATTAACTGTTGCAGGTTAGTTATCTTTTTAGTTTTATTCTTCTTAGGATTTAACACTATATTATTATTCTTCTTCAAGATAATTTTCTCATTTTTAATTCCTGTGTAAAATTGCACATACGGACATCCTTTATATGATGCTGGGTGGCCTAACATACCACAATTTGCACATTTTAAATTACATTTATCAGTCTTGGAGCACTTCCCAGGATCATGGTGCAGGCTGCATTTGACACATCTATAGTCCAAATCACAATTGACACTCGTATGTCCAAGTCGCTGGCATTTTCTGCACTGTATCAGCTTTTTCTTTCTAAGAGCTTCCCATCTAACTGTTTGATACAGCAGTTTCTTGCAATTGATTAGATTTTCCAAATTCGAGTCTTGGGTTATTTGAACTAAAAAATGGTAGTGCAGTTCATTATTATATTTATAGTGAAATTTACTCACTTTCACAATATTCACATTATCTAATTTAAGATCTGCTAAGGAATTGTAAACCTCTTCTTCACTGTATCTTCCTCTTACTCCTTTCAGTATTATATTTTTATGTTTAAGACTATTAGGTGTAAATGTAAAGAATTGGATTTTATTGTTTCTTTGCCAATTAGTTTTACTTTTGTCAACATTTGTCACTGTGTTTTGAGTTTGATTTGCATTTAGCAGGTTAGACGGGCAGCTAACACTAGATGGCCCACTCTCCGATGTTGCTTCGTCGGTAATACCGGCCCCGTCAATTATCATATCTTGATCAAGAGGTTGAAATGGGTTTTGGGTTCACAGTGACTGTTCTTCATTTTCACTTTGTTCTGCATTTTTGATGACTTTTCTAGGATTTCTCCATTCATTTTCCACATCCGAATCACCACTCTCAGCAATATCATGTGCTTCATTTGATGTCGAAGAATTATTTCCAAGGATGTATTTTTTAAGACCTTTGCCAATGTGATTGCCGTGGTCTTTTTGTATCTCTTTGAACATCTTTTCTAGGGTTATTGCATTGTTACCTTTTTTTGAAGGATTATTCATTAATTTCTTCGGATTCAAGCTCGTATTCTTTTTCTCTTTCGGTGTTGTCCTTTTTCTTTTACCAGCTTTGAGCAGGCAGTCTTCCATAGCCGCTAAGTTACAAAGGACTGACGCCCTTGCAAATTAACCTCCAAAATTCTCACTCAGCTTAATAAATATTTATTTGTCAAATTATTATACCAAAGTATCTATAATTCTCACAATGCTCTTAAACAGCACTGTCATGCGATAAATCTTACAACGTCCAATTTAATTCATGCACAGGACAGGATATAAAATAACATTTAGGTACGAACTCGATGTGCACGGTACGAGAGACGCACGTGAACTACCGCAGAGCTATCGTGTTTATATTGTTGTATGGCCAATGAAACACGAATTTAAGTTCTACTTTGAATTTATTAAAACTTATTAGTTCGTACAGGTTACAGTTGTTCTAATATAAAATGGTATGATTTAGAAAATAGAAGACAAGTAGACAGGTTGGCGTCTTAGAAAAGAGTGTTAAGGTTCCTAAAATTGGGATGTATTTATGTAGTTGAGGATTTTGGGAATTTTGGAAAGTGTAGTTTCCTGGGGAAATATTAAAGTACAGTTTTATGACAGGATATAGAAAAAAGGGGTTCGAACATATATGTAATACTCCTATATTGCTAGTCGGTATAGGGAGAGAGACTTAAACATTACGGTGCAGACATATATGCGTTTGTCTCACTTATTATACGCTGCGACTTGTGCGCATGATCGTGAATGGAGCGTGCGCATTAGATAGCATTTCAATTTGTACAAGAAATGAGATATGAGATATTCATTTTGCATATGAAGTAGCGTCTGTTTTACATCCAATTTTTTATATATTTTAATTGACTCCATGTAAAATGTCAAGTTTGTATTATACAATTAAAAGGCGACGCTACTAAAGGCACAATGCCTTTATTATCGCAAATAAAAAATCGCGGACCATACATAACACCATCAAAGGATGTAATGGCTATTTGCAAAGTTTGCGAACAGATTATCAGAAAATATCAATCGGAAATAAGTAAACCTTCAATTAAACAATTTTTAATAAATAAAATATTTAACAACATAGGGATGCAATTTGACAATAAAATCATGAATGAACACATTTTATCACAAGATATTTTGGATAATCATCGATCGCAACTTTGCAAATACGTTATTGAATTATATTTAAATACTCGGTTACATTATGAAGCCAAAAAAATGTCCGAGAAGGATCATTTTATAAGACAAAAATATACAAAACTCGTATTATTTAAACACCAATAAGTTTAATAATGTATAATTTGTTATACTGGTATGTGTAAATAATAAATTATTTATTGTTAAATATTATTTTTTTTATCTTAGTTTTTGATTTCCTTATATCCTTTAATCAATTCCCCATTTTTTCTGAAATGCCTGTTTCAAATATGTTGTTCATTTGAATGAAGCTGCTTATAAGAAGTAGAATATGCAAACTTCGTTTTAAAAAAATGAAATAAAATCTTTTTTTATTAACAAAGAAAAAAAACATTTCTATTTGTAAATTCTTTAAAATTAATTTTAGAGCTCATGAATGCTACATTTTTTATACAGTAAACTTTAAAATTATTAAATAAAGATATTTAAAATCCAATAGCTTGTATACTATTTATAATTATCATTATCACATTTTAATTGTATTTAGTGTATAATAATTGTCATTAAAATATAGACAGGAAAAAAAATATTTTTTAAATTAATAATCATGAATATTTATTTATCATCATCACATTTATATATAATTAAAAAATAGGAGAGCAATGTCAACTATTGTGGTGATGTACAAAAGTGATTAGTATGTAGTTTGTAAAATCTAATACATAAAAAATAATTTAAAGGAACAATAATTGACTTAATTATTATTTTTCGCATTTATTACATGTTATTTTATTACTGTGGATGTTGGGTCAAACTCAAGGAGTTGGGGCAGCTTGGGGAAAAGACTTTAAAATCTAGAGTAGCGGTAGATACTCGGCGCCAAGTGCACATTCACCTTTTCCCTCTCTCTCTCTTTCTCACTAGCGCGCTCTTTCCCCCATGAGCGCCGAGGCTACCAACTACTCTATACACGAAAAATTTTGTGTGACGTCATCAACGCATCTTTATATGCAAATATCTTTATAATTGCTACATATTATGATTTCATATTTAATAGGTAGTTATCTTATATCATGAGCTTTCAATTAAACGTTAAACGAGAATTTTTTATTAATTATTAACGGAGTTATAAATAAGCCACGCCCCTAACAGCGATATTTCTGCTATTCAAGATTTTTTCGCTCGCTGTTTCACTCTACTTAATCGAGCGCTCTATCATGTGTTCTCTCTTACTGAATGGGTCTTTTGTCACTTTCTTTCACATTGGGCTCCCTACAGTGCCCTCTTTCTTGCGTTACGTATTGTTATCACTCTCTTTCACGTTAACCTCGTAATATTTCCTTCTCTCTTGCCTAACCAAGAGACATCTATGTTCTGAATAATGAAAAATGTTTCCCGCGTGTTGTATATCGATTTAAATAAACTTTCTTAGGAATTATTGGTAAAGAAAAGTTTTAAATGATCAATGAAAAATAAGTGTTTGTCGAATAATAACAACAAAAGAATATGATTAAAAAAAGTAAAAAGTGTTTCCCGCGTGTTGCATATCGATTTTAATAGATTTCATTTGGAATCATGAATAAAATGATGTTCTAGATGATTGAAAGAAAAAACAATTATAATAAATATCCAAAATTGTTATAAATTTTGTGGTTGGCTTTAAATAATGTCTTATTGAAATATCATATTTTTCACTATTTTTATGAGACATGATTTTGTTGAACTTTTTTCTATTTCAGAAAAATAAAAAACTGGCTTGGCAGAGTAATAAAAGAGCAGAAAATACACCTATGTAGCATAGGAACTACCTAAAATTGTTATAAATTTTTAAATTTTCGAAATAAATAAAAATTAAATAATTTTTAACGTTGTTGTCTTGAGACAGCGCGCTCGGAGAGCGCGCGTTGTTTCTAGTAACCTTATTGAAAAAAAAAATTAATTTGGAAGAAGAAAATTTTTTTGGAAGTTTGGTGACTGTCTCCAAAATTCCACTTTGATCGCACGAAATGTTACCAAACTTCCACTTGCACGTATATATACTACTATATGAATTTCTGGTGTCTATCTGTCTGTTCGGGGTAATCTCCAAAACCGTTAATTCGATTGCGACCAAATTTAGCAGATATGTAGAGGGGGTTGTTCGGAAACTTATATGCTACTTGTTGTTAATGTGAATTGTTTATAACTATTAAATTTGTTATAAAACAGGATTTATTCAATATATTTGAGATCTTTCAACGGGAAATTTTTTCTTTTACTGAAACAATGTTATCCACTGTGTAAAATGGATATAAACATACTTCTTTTGTTCGTAACATACTATTTGTTGTAAAAGAACAGAAATTGAGTTTTACGATCATTTCCTTTCATCATCAGTAAGAGTGCTCCTGTAAC